TAAATTCCAGAAAATGTACAAGGGTAAAAATACATTAGATATAATAGTAGCAAGCATAATATAGCAAGCAGATCCTGAATTCATGAAAACAAAACAAATCGACTTAATAATAGGCAGTGACATTATCCCGAAAATAATAAAGAAAGGGTTCAAGAAAATTAATGGAATTATCGCCCAAGAAACAATATTTGGATGGATAATATCAGGCAAAGTATTAAAGAAACCAGCAAAAAGAAGTAAAGTAACAATTACAACAAAAAACATAGAAAAGTTTTGGGAACTAGAAGAAGCAGATAACACAATCAATGAAAAAACAGCAGAAGATGAAATATGTATGCAATTTTATGATGACACCACTAAAATAGACGGCGACAAAAAATTTATAGTGAAACTTCCATTAAAAAAAGATGCCACACTAGGTGAATCTAGAAATCAAGCAATGGCAAGATTCCTAAACCAAGAGAAAAAAATGAGTAATGAGAAAAGAACTGAATACATAAAATTCATGCAAGAATATGAGCAGAAAGGACATATGGAAAAAGTAAAAGATAATACAATAGGAAAATATTACCTACCGCATCAAGCAGTGATAAGAGAATCAAGTCGCACTACAAAACTAAGAGTAGTATTCGATGCATCAGCAAAATCGACAAATGGAAAAAGCTTGAACGACATAATGATGACGGGGCCAAGATTACAGCAGGATATATTTGATATATTAATGAAATGGCGATTATGGAAATTCGTCGCTTCAGCCGATGTAGAAAAAATGTTCAGGCAAATAAAAATTGCACGAGAAGACCAAGATTATCAAAGAAATCTATACCAAATACTCTAATATATATATGTTTTTTAAAAAATTCTCTCCAACATTGTAACATTTTATCAAATTTTATAATTAATTAAATATTAATATTACGTATTAACTCAAAATATTACAGTAACAAATACCTCCAACAGAGTTAAAGAAATTTATGATTATGCTTCAAAAGTAGTTTTTGTTAACTTTTTTGTTTGGTACTCGATTTTAATAACTTTTTCATCAATTGATATTAGAAAAATATAAATAATTTGAAAATTACCGTGCAACATTGTACTACTTCTTAGTATTTTTAAATATATATTGAAAAATACATCAAATGATTGCATGTGTTATGCAGTTTGCAAAAGAAGATTTGTGTTTTGTTTTATGGTATGCAAAATATTTTTGTTAATTTTGCAAAGTCGTACTACCTATTTTTTATAATTTATATACGAAAATATATGTTGTTTCATTCACACATATATATATATATATATATATATATGTATATATATAAATATATGTATATATATATTTATTCAGTTTGCGAAAGAAGATTTGTGTTTTGTTTTATGGTATGCAAAATATTTTTGTTGATTTTGCAAAATCGTGTTACTCATGTTTTATATACCAAAATATTCTAATATATATATGTTTTTCTAAATATACTCTACAACATTGTACCATCTCATCAAATTTTATAATTAATTAAATATTAATATTACCTATAAACTCAAAATATAACATTAACAAATACCTCTAGCAGAGTTAAAGAAATTTATGATTATGCTTCAAAAGTAATTTTTGTTAATTTTTTATTTGGTACTCGATTTTAATAACTTTTCATCAATTGATATTAGAAAAATATAAATAATTTGAAAAATTGTCTTGCAACATTGTACTACATCTTAGTATTTTTAAATATATATTGAAAAATACACCAAATGATTGCATGTGTTATGCAGTTCGCAAAAGAAGATTTGTGTTTTGTTTTATGGTATGCAAAATATTTTTGTTAATTTTGCAAAATCGTACTACCTATTTTTTATAATTTATATACGAAGCTATATGTTGATACATACTCATATATATATATATATATATATATATATATATGTATATATATATAAATATATAT